TCTTCTACGGCGCGCACGACTCTGGATCCGCTGCCGGGCCCGTGCCCGTGCCCGTGCCCTCTCCAGGAAGTGCGCGGCTGGAGAGCGGGGCTCTGTCTCACTCCAAGACACTGAGCCAGGCTGGGCGCGAGGTGTGCTGAGCGACGCCTCCCGTCTGCGCCCCTGCACCGCCCAGCCCTCCCCTTCTCCAGCTCCGCGGGAACCCTGGGAATCCTCCTGGACGCGGCCCCACCGCCGGCCTCCTCACCCGCCCCTTCTGAGGCTCCCGCGAAGGCCACTCCGCTCTTGCACTCACTTGTCCTCATTGTCGGACATGACGCTCTCGCCGCACCAACCTCACTCCGCGCCCACCCGCCCGAGTAGAGACCCCAATCTACGCGCGTCCGCTTCGCGCGGAGCCACGCGTTCCCTGCGCCTGCGCAGTGACCCACAGGCAAGCACTTCCTGGAGGCTGGCGGGAGCGGAAAAGGCGCGCATGCGCCAAATGGCGTGCGCTCGTTACCATGGTGCCCGGAGCCGCTAGTTGCAGGCGCTACCCGCCCAGATCTTGGTATTTCTGCGGGCGCCGGCGAGTGCCGGTCAGGTGCCGCTGCGGGGCCGTGATGTGGGGAGGGGAAACGCAGGGGGTCTTACTTTAGAAAGAGGGTTCCGTTTGGGCGTGTTTCTCAGTGGGTGTGACCGCGGCTGTCTTAACGTTCCGTTTCTCCGGAGAGGGCTTCCCTGCCACGGGCGCAGGATCGGGATAAGGACTGTGTCCCGCGAGGATCCGCCACCGTCGCGATATTACCTGGCGACATCACGATTCTCGATCCCAGCTCCCAGGCTTCAGGGGTGTCGGGGTTGGGGGAGCAGAGATCGGGGCTGGGTGACGGGATGTGTCTTTGCGTCTTTCCTTCTCAGGGCCCTCCCATGGATTCACAGGAGAGGGTGGAGGCAGTGACCAAAGGCACCGGGTTCTGGCGCTCCCCCAGACCGGCCACTTACACCCCAGGGACCTGCGAGCTGCTCAGAGGTCAGTGCGTTAAAAACTAGTGGTGAGGGGCCAGCAGGTGGCGTGGTGGTGAAGGGCGCTGGACTTCCACATGGTCAACCACGGTTTGAATCCCGGACCTGGTGGCTTTCTTTCTCTCTCTGTGTCCCTCATATATACACACACACACACATATATATACATACATATATACACACACACACACATATGTATATATATATATAAAGTTAAATAAAATAATTCTTTTTTGAATGGTTTTTGCTCTAGGGCACGTGCACTTGCCAGAGAGAGAGACAGAAAGCGAGAAATCACCCCCCAGGGGTTTGGCCATGCCGCAGTCCCTTCTCCTCCATTCTCCTCTTGGGACCTTGGGCACTCACGCACACGTGCCTGGTGTGAGTTTAAGCCACCGGGTCTGGGACTCAAACCACGGTCGACTACGTGGGAGTCCAGCAATATAGCCATTACACTAAAAATTATAAAAAAAAAAAAAAAAAAAAAAAGAGGGACCAGAAGTTGGCATAATGTCTGTGTCGCTGAACTCCCACATAGTTTAAGCCACCGGGGTTCGAGTCCCGGACCCTGATGGCTTAAACTCACTCCAGGCGCATGTACATGTATGCCCAAGATCCCAACAAAAGAGTGGAGGAGAGGGAACAGCAGTTAGAGTAATGGCTATGTCGCTGGAATCCCATGTAGTCGACCGCAGTTTGCGTCCTGGACCTGGTGGCTTAAAACTCAGGCCGGGCACGTGTGCGTGCGTGCCCAAGATCCTGAGAGGAGAATGGAGGAGAAGGGATTGTGGCGTGGCCATCCTCCCTGGGGGGTGATTTCTCGTTTTCTGGCTCTCTGTCTCTCTTTCTGGAGAGCGCACGCACCCTATAGCAAAAACCTCTCCAAAAAAAAAGAGGAGAAGGGATTACGGCGTGGCCATCCCTCCTGCGGGGTGATTTCTTGCTTTCTCTCTTTCTGTCTGTCTGGCAATCTCACGCATCCTATAACAAAAACCTCTAAAAAAACAAAAAAAAAAAAAAAAAAAAAAAACAGCGGTAGGGGCCCAGCAGATGGTGTAACGGTTACATGGCTGGACTCCCACATGGCCAACCACAACTTGAGTCCTAGACCTAGTGACTTAAAACTCATGCTGGGGGACCAGCAGTTGGCATAATTGCTATGTTGTTGAACTCCCATATGGTTGACCGCAGTTCGAGTCCCGGACCTGGTGGCTTAAACTCATGCCAGGCATATGTGCGTGCGTGCCCAGGATCCTGGGAGGAGAATGGAGGAGAAGGGATTGCGGTGTGGCCATCCCCCCAGGGGGTGATTTCTCGCTTTCTGTCTCTCTGTCTCTCTGTCTGTCTGGTGATTGCACACGCCCTATAGTGAAAAATCTCTCAAAAAAAGAAGAAAGGTAACATGTAATAAAAATGAATTAAAAAAACAGAGACTTTAAGTGGAGATGAGTGCTATAGAAAAAAATGAAGCAGGAAAGGGAGCCAGGAATGCTCAGGGTGGGAAGGGGCGGGAGGTGACAGAATAATTACCCCTCTGGAGGGCAAGATGCAGGCGTGTGTCTGCAGCCCCAGAGGCCTCACCAGGGCATTCTCTCACAGTGATGATGAAGGAATCCAAACTGACTAACTTCCAGCAGCGCCACATCATGGACACCGTGAAAAGTAAGGGGCTTCCCGGATGAGGGGCTGGGGCCACACTTGTAATGTTTCTCCGTGCTCAAGGGAAAAAGACATCATTTTAAAAGACAAAGAAAAAAACAATAGTATTTCTGACCCTCGCTCCTGGGAAGTGACTTCATGGGGCCTTTGCATCTTCCCTGGGCAAAGGTCTTGGCACAAAAATAAGCCCCTGCAGTCCTGCTGTACTAACTTTCCCAGGGACCGTGGCCCAGCCCCGCTCTAGCTAACCTTCCCAAAGACCATGGCCCAGTGGCTTTCTGCCCAAAACAATCACACTGTCAGGTCTGCAAATATACCCCGTTACACATATACCTTGTGAGCCCCCCAGACGAAACATGCATGAGAGGGTCTTCGAGACATTCATGGAAAATGAGCACTGAAAACTGGGGGGCCACGTGGTGGTGCAGTGGTGGCCAGCTGGGCCCACATGGGAGGGGTTCTGAATTCATGTCCTGGGACCTCCCTGAGCACAGTAGGTGCGCATGCCTGTAATCTGAACAGCTGGGGCTGCAGGGCCAGGGGGGTTACAGACTGGGGATCCTGTTGGGGAGGTACTTCTCACTCTATTTCTAAGAAAAAGAGGGAACCAGCAGTTAGCGTAATGGCTATGTCGCTGGACTCCCACGTAGCTGACCACGGTTCGCATCCCGGACCCGGTGGCTTAAAACTCACGCCAGGAGTGTGTGTGTGCGTGCCCAAGATCCCAAGAGGAGAATGGAGGAGAAGGGATTGCGGCGTGACCATCCCCCCTGGGGGTTGATTTCTCGCTTTCTGTCTCTCTGTCTCTGTCTGTCTGTCTGGCGAGCACATGCGCCCTATAGCAAAAACCTCTCAAAAAAAAAAAAGAAGAAAAAGAAAAAAAAGCATAAACTTTTTTTTTTGCACCAAAATTTAAACTCATAGTTTACATTTTCCACAAACTCTTGAAACCTTTTTCTTGGGGACCAGCAGATGACTTAATGGCTGTATCATTGGACTCCCATGTAGTCGACTGTGGTTCGAGTCCCGGACCTGGTGGCTTAAAACTCACATTGGGTGTGCGCACATGCATGCCCAAAATCTCAAAAGGAGAATGGAGGAGAAGGGATTGCGGCGTGGCCATCCCCCCTGGGGGGTCATTTCTTGCTTTCTGTCTGTGTCTCTCTGTCTTTCTGGCGAGCACATGTGCCCTAGAGCAAAAACCTCTCAAAAAAAAAAATAACAACCCACTTTTTTCTTTACTCATGATAGAACATATGCACACACATATGAGAGAGGGGAAGATGAGCTCCCTTCACAGAGCCCAGTCATGCCACGATGTTCCCGCCTGTGGGCTCTGGGCACTAGCACGCATGCCCAGTGTGCACTGGGCTGAACAGGCCCGGATTTGAACTGTAGGTGTCACGTGGAATCTGGCTTCTCTTGACCAGCACATTATTATTTTTTCTTTCTTTCTTTCTTTCTTTTTAAGAGAGATTCTTGCTACAGCACATGCGCACACTGGAGAGGCAGAGAGACTGAGAGACAAAAAGCGAGAAACCACCCACCAGGGGAATGGCCATGCTGCAATCCCTTCTCCATTCTCCTCTTGGGATTTTGGACATATGTGCCCATTCACTCGGGAAGAGTTTTAAGTCACCAGATCCGGGACTTGAACTGCAGTAGACTGCGTGAAGTCCAGCAAGGTAACCATCATCCCATCTGCTGGTCCCTAGCAGTGCATTTTCTGCACCACTGGGCCAGCCCTTTCCACAGACTTTTTGAAGTTCCCATGTTAATTCATAGCTTAGGAAAGACTGGAAAGATACATTTCAAACAGCAGAACCACACCATGCAGCAAGCAGGGGCTGCTCTCAGCTGGGCTTTTCAAGTAATCGAGAAGGAGCCAAGTGACCAGATGGCTGGCCTGAAGGGGAAGCCCTGGTGTGGGCAAGATAGGAGGATGGACAGCAGGAGGGATAAGCACCACCTCCATCCCAAACGGCTCTCCCCGCCAGTGGACCAGACAGAAAGCATTAGGGACCTACCGATAGAAGTGAGAGCACCAGTTCAAAGACGCCATGTCCAAGGGTGTTTATTGCAGCATTGTTTGAACGAGTAAAAACCAAACAAAAAAGGTGAAAACAACCTGAATTTCAGAAAGTAGGAGGCTATCTGAATAAATAAAGTATTCTAAAGACTAGTATAAAGCTGTAAAAAATAAGTTATATATAAACCGAGTGACCTGGAAAGATGTCCGTGATAAATTGTTAAGACAGCGTTACTGAATTTAATATGGTGTGATCCAGTGTTTCAAAAATGCATCTGCATGCACACGTAAGCTATATGCACATACGCTTCTGAACAATTCTGCATAAGCATCACAAAGCATCGGAAAGGGCCAGGCGTGGAGGCGCATGCCTGTAACCTCCGCCACGTGAGAGGCTGAGGTAGGAGCATGGTGAGTTCCAGCAGCCTGAGCAACACAGTGAGACCCCGTCTCCGAAAATAGAGAGACCACCAGGTTTTTAGTGTTACTCACTGAAGGGGTGGGAAGATTGCAGGGGAGAAAGACAGCTTCTCTGTGTGTTGGGTTTGTAACAAACAGCCATCACTATTATGAAGAGCAAACAAGAACAAGAGCCCAGGGGTTCTCCCCACCCCTCTTCCTCCCCCAGGAGGAAACACTTTGCCCCTGCAGTGCAGCCCAACATCTAGCCAGAGGGCCTCGCCTCCCAAGCAGCCAGCCTCAACCATCTACCTGCCTCCCATCCTGACAGCCCGCTCCCACCCCCGGCCGGCCAGCCTGTGCCAAGCCAGCGGCGCCTACAGCCGGGAGCAGTTCAAGCCGCAAGCCACCAGTCAGTGAGAGGGCTGGGCTGGAGACCCTCTTCTGTGGTCTGGTGGGAGGGGGCAGCAGCCCATGGCTGGTGAGCACATGGTCTATCTGCTTTCACACCCTTTATCCAAATGCACTGGAGTCTTGGCACATGCTAGCTTGGGGGGATTCGGGGAACAGGGGAGCTTTTTACTTTTTCAGAGCTTTCTCATGAACTAGAATCTAGCCCTGATAACACATTTGCCTTCGGATCTCATAGCTACACTCCCACCCCTCACCTCACCCTCGAATGGAGCCCCCTGCACTTCCGCCCACTTCCTAGAGCCGTTATCCCCCTTCCTCGGCATCTGACATACTCTTGGTCCAGACCCACGACCTCTCCCCACCACCCTATACACAGAGGCCCCAGGTGCCTGAGTTTCTCAGCCTTGCTCTGCACCAGAGTGTATGTGTGTCTGTGTGGGCAAAGCTCTGTTCTTGAGTCCATCAGCCTCTATCTTAACATGGCAGGCTCAGGTGTGTCCAGGTAGCAGGTACCAGGATGTGGAAGCCTTGGCCATGTGACCCAGGCAGCCAGCAATAAGCTCACCCAAGTGAGAACCCAGACCATGAGCGGGGGCAGCCCTCATGCCTTCACTGGGTCACCTCTGAGCCCTATAGGAGATCTGGAAAAGGAGAAACACAGACTGCAAACTATCCTTGCCACTGGGAAGGAGCCGGAGGAGCGGAAAAGAAAGCCCACTCCCACTCCCGGGCGACAGGAGGACCCAGCCCCTGAGGTGGACAGGTTTGACGAACGTGAGCCACTGCATGCCAGTTATGCAGTTATGGGAGGGGTGGTGTGGGTGTGAGGGAGGGGCCCAGACTGGATGGAGCAGGGTCTCCCTGAAGGCCAATGAGAGAAACTTGACAAAACTGGTTCCTGTCCCCAAGAGGGGCAAGCCACAGCTACAGCCCCGCAGCCCCACCGGGGCCCCTGCCCCACACGCTGACAGCCTTCACCTCTGTCCAGTGGTGAAGGAAATCCAGGAGAGGAAAGAGTTCCTGGCTGACATGGAGGCGCTGGGGCAGGGCCGGCAGTACCGAGGGCTCATCCTTGCGGAAATCTCCCAGGTAGGAGACCAGGGCGGTGGGGAGGGGCAGGGGCCTGCTGTGACAGCTGTGGCTCACACCTCTAGTGTTCCCTCTGCTGCCCTTGCAGAAACTACGGGAAATGGAAGACATTGACCACAAGAGGAGTGAAGAACTTAGGAAGGCTCTTGCTACCACTTAATCTGTGTCCAGGGACAGGGACGGGGCCCCAGCGCTTTGCCATGCAAGGCCACTCCAGACATACACACTGGCCTTCAGCCATATCAAATGGTCACATTGCACTGCCCTGAACTACAGACCCCAGAGTAAATACGGGACCCTCGATACCGCCCAGGGAGGCCGGGCCAGCTGCTGGAGCCTCTGAGCCCAGTCACAGACCCAGACTTGGAGACTCCTCTGGGGGAAGAGCCCCATACGCAGTGTCAGGCAGGCCCCCAGTCCACGTCTCAGCACCTGGAACCTGTGCCTGAGGGCATCCAAGGGACCCTCCTCTCACCACTGCCAGCATTGCTGTCCTCCTTACTGAGCTTTGTGAACTGAGAAACACAATTTCTTTCTTGCCTGTCTTAGGACCTATTTATGTGACTTTACAGCCTTGGGCAAATGTTTAACCACAATGATTAATTGGCCAATAAAAAAAAATGTAACATGGGTCATTATGAGTACCATTTTGTTTTCAGAGGGATAAGGCTTATTTGTTCTAGGAGTTAGAATCTGTCCGGCACAGGTGGTTTCTAGCCACCTGTTTGCACATTTCAAGTGGAGGTGAGAACAGTACTCTTGAACACCCACAGCTGGCTGCTAAGACGAGTCTTTATTCCTGTGACAACCAAGGTCCAGATGCCCAGCCAAGGGCACTGAACTAACAGGAAGCCTGCTTAGGGTGGAAAGTTAGCTCTTTCGGGTCAGGTAGGTGGTGTGGTGGTTAAGGTGCTGGACTCCCACATGGCCAACTGTGGCTTGAGTCCCAGACCAGGTGGCTTGAAAATCACACCAGGCACGTGTATGCATGCTCAAAATCCCAGAAGGATTTGCTCTCTTCAGTGGGAGCACATGTGTAAAAACCTTTAAAAAAAAAAAAAAAGTTAGTTTTTTTCCATTAAACCCACAGAAAGAAACACAAAGGATGGCAGGGATCAAGCCTGTAAGGGACCTAGTTTTGGAGTTCTAACCCCAGCATGTGCCATGTGACCTTGGGCCACCCGCAGCCTCAGCCTTTGCACACCTGCGAGGCACTGCCTGAGGGCTGCTGCTGGTGAGTCAACCCACAAGCACAACAGCCCAGCCCTGCCTGGCACCAGGCCAGCAGTCCCTGTCCCTGACACGGATGAGCCCTGCCTGCTCTAGTATTCTGCCATTCTCCTGGCTCCATAAATCACCAACATTTGGAAATACCGAGCAGTGCACCTGGAGGGAGGTGCATCCTGTTAGGTCACACGACCCAAGCTTTGGTTTGCAGAGTAAATATGGCCGCATGTCTGACCTGAGCGACACCAGCCCCATTAAGGAATGTGCTCAGAAGCTCCGCGGGAAGCCTGTGTACCCACAGGCCCCCAGAACCTACGGGCAGAGGGCACCGTGAGCAGGACCGATGTCCTTCACCTCGGAGGCCCTGCCACAGGAGCCAGGGCAGCAAAGTGGGGACAACTTCAGCCCACTCTTGCCAACGCTGGATTTAAATTCACGTCAGTTACCATTTACAAATCACACACACACAGATTGGATTTCCAGCTTCTTTTGAACAATGGAAATGATCTGGCAACGCTGAGCCCACATTCATTCCACTGGTGACTCATGTGGGGAGAGTGTCCCTTGAGCTGTGGCATGAACACTCCAGTTCACCTCACCCCACCACCCTTGTCTCCAGACACTGGGACAGGCCATCAGAGCCATCCCTCAGGTAACATTCCTGTGTTTCCTGCCTGGTCCGTGGAAGGCCTGGGCCTTGGCAACCCCAGCTTCGGGTCAGCAGGCACGTTTGTAAGGAGATGGCCAGAGGCTCTAGAGGTGGGGAGCCACCTCTCCCTGCAGAGGAAGGAAGCCCTGAAGGTGGCAGGCACTGAGGCCCAAGCCCTAGTTGGCCTCAGAGCCTCCCGGGCAACCAGAGAGGCCTAGCCATGAGGCGTGGCAGAAGTGGGCAAGAAGGCAGACGTGACTGTGGCCCAAGGCCACAGGGCACTGGCAGCTGAGGTGGTCTGTTTACTGCTGGGGAGGGGAATCCTGGCGAGTTAGGACAGTGCGGTCTCTCCCAGGGGTGCTGAGGGAAGGGGCCTAGTGGCATCCCAGGGTAGCTTATAGCAACAGTGCTCTGACTGAGAGCTGCCGGCACATTCTCTGGGGAAAGTGGCTGTCCCCGTGGCTCTTCCTCTCCCAGACAGCCCACAGGGAAATGGCCCTCTGCCCTTGGGTGGAAGCAAGTCAGGGAAAGGACCGACAACAGGAGAGAGACAGACTATTGGTCAGATCAATGGTGACCACGGCAACTGGTCCCATTTCTGGGCCAGGGTGGGAGAGGGCCGAGCTTGCGGTCAGACTAGACGTGTTAAGCAGCCAGGATTAGCACCTACTTGAAGCACACCCTCCCCGGGCTGGTGATCAGGGTCCAGAACTGCAACCAGGGCCTGCTTCTCAGAGGGGCCACAGCCCTGGGGGACAACGCAGGCACCCGATAGCCAGCACGGCCTCACAGCCCTGTCATGGGGAGTGGGGCTTCCTGGGTAACAAGCCTGAGATGAGAGATGCATCTCCTAGAACTTTGGGGAAATGAAGAGGGATCCCCCCATCAGGCCCATTCATGTCTGAGCACACACCACAGGCCACTCAGTTACTAACTAGGGACTTCACAAACAGGGCTCCTGAGTGGGGAGGGACAGAGAGGCAGGGGCACCTGCATTGGACAGGAAGACAAGATCGGAGCCAGGCTGGGGCAGGAAGCAGCCGATGCACCAAGCCCTGCCAGCTGGCCTGCCCAGACAGGTAGGGCACAGGGACAGGGCCCCTGGGCTGGACATCTACCTCGGGCAGAAGGTAGACAGCTAAGAATGCCCCTCCCTGGCCCCTGGAGCCTGCTTGTCCCTGGGCCAGTCACAGTGTCTGGAGTCACCAGGATCAGACCAAACAAGGCGGAGTCCAGCCACCTGGGGCTCAGAGAAGGCGGAGGGAAACTCTGGCCCAGACCAGCCGGAGGACCCTGAGGAGGGAGAGGCCATCACGCAGAGGCTCCCTCCCCTACATCATCTTTCCTCGACCGAGCTGGGAAGCAGGGTGCCCCAGCAGCGGAATGGCCAGGGCTAATCCAGGAGGGCGGCCCCCAGCAGGCTCCCCTGGCTCTTAGCTCTTGTCCCCAGGAGACTTGCTCTTGGCGTCACGCTTGTTCCCCAGCAGCTTCAGCACCTTCATGGTCTTGAACTTCCCCTTCTTCTTGCCCTCGGGCTCAGCTTCCTTCTGGAACTCTGCAGCACAGAAAGGCTAGCACTTAGCAAAGTGGGGAGAGGCGCCCATTAGGGCAGGCAGGGGTAGGAGGGGCCCAGAGCGTGTGGCCAGCAGGCTCGGCCCAGGCCCGCGACCTCCCACATGGAACCCTGAACAAGTCACTTCATCGTTCTGAGCCTCTGTTTCTTTATCCAGAAGTTGGAGACCATACCCCCTGCCAGTTTGGGGAAAAAATCGGGAGATAAACACATGTGAAAGCAGTCTGGGAACTCTGAAGCCTAGCAAACGTTTATCTTTAAAAGGCTCAGGCAGGGGGCCAACAAGATGGGGTAGTGGTACTGGACTCCCACATGGCAGACCACAGTTCAAGTCCCAGACCCGCTGCCTTAAAACTCATGCAGGGGGCATGTGCGTGTGTGTCCAAGATCCCAGGAGGATAAGGGACTGCAGCGTGACCAACCCCTCTGGGGGATGATTTTTCACTTTCCCTCTCACTGTCTCTCACTGCCTCCGTCTGTCTCTGGCAAGCGCACACACCCTACGGCAAAAACCTTAAAGAAAAAAAAGCCTTCAGGGGCAGGTGGACGCACAGTAGTAGTACAACTGGCCCACGTGGGAAGCTCTGGGTTCATGTCCTGGGACCTCCCTGGGTGAGCACATTCATGATTCAGGTCAACTAGGGTTTGCGGTGGATTGTGGTGTGAGGACAATGTTGGGAGTGTATGCGTGCGTTTCAACCTCTCAGAAGAAATACAAGTAAACCTAGGGGCCGGCAGAGGGCGCTGGACTTCTGCATGACTGACCACGGTTCAAGTCCTAGACCTGGCGCTTGCTTTCTTGCTTTCTCTTTCTGTCCCTCTCTGGTCAAATTAAAAAAATAAATAAAGTTAAATAAAATAATTCTTTGGAAAAAACAAAAAAAACTACAAGTAAACCTTAAAAAAAAAAAGGCTCAGGCTGGCTCTGTGGACTGATGGTTAAGGTAAGCAGATCCACATGTCCAACCGCCCAGTTCAAATCCCACCCTCGGCAGCTTGAAAAGCACGCCCGGCACACATGCAATCTTGACAGGAGGGAGAAATGCAGAAGACTGCAATGAAGCAATTCCCCATGGACGATGCTCTTCCTCTCCCTCTCTCTTTTCTCTGTCTCCCTGGCTGGCACCACACCCTCCGGCAAGTCGGAGAAAAGGCCCGAGTCAGCTAGGCTGTGGCTCACGGCTTTGTGGTCTATGACAGAAACACAGACAAAGCTGAAAGAAACCTCAGGAATCCCCTGTCCCAGCCCCTGTTTTCAAAGTAAGGACAGTGTGGGCCTTTGGAAGGGACTGCCCCCACCTGAGCTCTGTGCAGGTGCCAGGCCCCAGGCTCGGGACTTCGCTGCGTTACCTTAGTAACCCTGCACACCCCTGACCGCCCCCATGTGACAGGGATAGTGAGCCCGGAGGGCAGAAGCGGCTGGCTCTGCCACCCAGCTAGTAAGTGCCAGCGCTCAGACTAGAACCCAAGCAGTCTGACTTCAGCCTGAGTCAAGACTTAACCACAAGGCCACAACGTGAGTCACTGCTGGAACCCAGGCCCCTGGCTCACAGCCAACGCCCTTTCATTGGTTCCAGGCATCGCCTGACCCCCAGCAGGCCCTGCTCTGCAGCCCACAGGCCCCACCCCAACCAGCTGCAGTTCTCCGGGAGGAGGGCAAGTAAGGCGAACCTCCCCAGGAAAATGCCCCCACCACAGTCCTCCCTGTGGGCTCCAGGGCATCCTGCAGCCACCCCTAAGCTGGCCATGGCCTTCCCAACTTTGCTGGTCTCACCACACATGGCCTTCTCTCCCCACCATGCCTGCACCAACCCTCCGTTCAGTCGGCCTCACCCTCCAACCCCAGGCAAGAAACGCGCGAGTTCCAGGGGGCCTGAAATCCCAGCCTCACCAGCCTCACCCCTTACCTTTCTTCCTGATCATGGCTTCCAGCATCTTGTCTTCCTCCTCCTCCCTGGAACGAGAAAGGGGAGCTGAGCGCCCAGATCATCTCTAAGCCCTGTCCGAGTCCACACGGCTGGGCAGAGGTGTGCTGGGCTCGTGGTGAGGGCAGGGCGGGCCTGGCCCTGGGTGTGGGGCTGTCTCAGGCTCTGCCAGGGAGCTGCCCACCCAGGAGCCCTAGGCACGGCCATGTCACCTCTGCCGGTCCTCATCCAGGCAGTTGACAATGGCATTGCGCTGCTCGATGAGGGTCACGATCTCCTGCATCAGCACCTTCTCGCGGCCCCGGTCCTCCTCAGTCCAGTCCTTCTCTGCCCAGGGAGAGATGGTGGTGTGATGGGGAAGCCCTCTCCTCCCCAGGACCCAGGCGCCTAACTGCCACAGGCCAGCCCCATGCTAGGGACAGGACGGAGGAGCCAGACAGGGGCACGCGTGTCCTTACAGGGAGGCCAGGGTATTGGCTGTCCATCTGCCATGCCCTTCAAGGGCCCAGGTGGGAACAGCACAGCACATGTTCTGAGCACGGACCAGCGCATCCGGGGATTTCCTGCTCACGTTCACCTGCCACATTCACCCGCTCAGCAAGTGACCACTATGGGGTTTCTTGCAGGAAGCAGGACTCAGGTGGGCCAGAGTGAGGAAGGGCGGAGACAACAGGGATGCTTACACGGGAGGAGCGGCATGACCTGAGTGGCACATTGGGGCATCTGTCCCAAGCTATGGAGGAGGGTAGACCAGAGGGGACACCAGGGCCAGGGAGCCCAGCCAGGTTTCCCAGACAACTGCACAGCTGCGGCCCCTCCAGCCTCCCTCCCTCAAGGCTTCGAGCCGTCACCCAGGCCCTCCTATGCCTGGACAGTCTCTTCTCCTTCCGGCTGCCAGCGAGGGGGCCACGCTTGGTCCTCTGTCCACTGCACCCGCCAACACAGCCCTTATCTGGACTAACTATCCCGAGGCCCCTTCAGTCACTGCCCATCCCTACCTTCCTCCTTGCCAAACTCAGGATCAGGTGCCCGACCTAGCGCTGGGGACAGAGCAAGGCCAGCCCCACTCTGCTGCTCCTCCAGTCTGGGACCTGGCTGTTATGTCCCCAGTCTATCTGCGGGAGACAGGCTGAGGGAAGCTGAGGCCTTGACCAGCGTCACACAGCAAAGGTGGGGATCCTATTTGAGCCCAGGCAACCTCACACGGCCAAACAATGGTCCTTATGGTGTCTTGTGGGTTCTCCGACCTACCCAAGGTTTTATAAACCAGCTCACCCTCCGAAAGCGGCGGCCGGGCCAGGCTGACAAGCCAAGGGCTGCCCTCAGCGGAGGCTGGGGAACAGCAGTATGCCCCAGCCCGCCGGGAAGGCAGGAGTGCTGTGCCCAGTCCAGCCACAGGGTGTCGCTGTGGCTCCAGCTGAATGGTGGCCACGCCCTGACCTCCCAAGGCCTGGGAGTGACTCACAGAGGGCAGTAGAAGCCTGGGACATTCTGTGGCTTTTCCTAAGTTCCCCAGGCCACAGAGAGGAACCACTGTCCCAGCTGCCAGGAGGGGCTGTGTGTACAGAGTCAGGCTCTGCTCAGATATGGAGAGGGCCCAGCTCTACCGCCAGGGGGTGGGGGCGTCTCTCCCTGTCTCTGGCTCTGCATCCTCATAGCAAGTGGGAACCACAGACGGGACCGCCCAGGGCAGGCACCACGCCCAAGGGTGGGCAGGCGGTCAAGAGCCCTGGCTTCCAGCTCTGCCTCTCCACAGCCCGATGGTCTCTGCCCACAGCTGCAGCCACGCACGTCGCAGCCACAGGACACATAAGGGGCTCTCCCTCACCAAACCCTGACTCTGCCACGTGACAACCATTAGCCATCAGGCCCTCAGAGGGGACATCCTCTCTCTTCTGTCCCCATGAATACCCTACAAGAAATGGGTGCCATGCTCGGCCCTCCCTCCACAACGCCTGTCACCGCAGGCCTCCCCATCCTGACACAAGTATCCCGAGGCTCCTTGGACTGGTGCCCTGTTCCCCCTATGGGTACCTTCATGCACATCTCACACATGAACCACTGGGTCTCCGTGACCTGCCCAAGGTCACTCGGCAGTTAGTGGCACATCATAGGACTCTCTGAGCCCACACCCACAAGCCAGGCTGCTCCCAGGCCTGGTGGTCACCCACAGCCGTCACCCTGACACTGGAGGTCTGCACCCCACTGTCTGCGTGCATCCCTCTCCCACCCTGCCTCAGCTCTAGTTTATCGCTGTTACAACCGCTCTGTCCTCAGAGAGGCCCAGACAGCCCCTCCACTCCTCGCCCTGCTGCCAGCAGCCAATGTACCCTGCACGCCGGCCCCATGCAGCTGTGCTCGCCCTCCTCTACCCTGCTGCCTGTGTGCCCCGCACGCTGGCCATGCTCCACCTCTGCCCGGCAGGCTGTGCCCCCGGCTTACGGGCCCGCGGCTGCGCTCACCGGGCTTGTTGAGAAGGCACCGCAGCTCGTACTCCACGTCAGCCTGGCGCTGCTCCAGGTTCTGCTGCTTGAAGCTAGAGGGTGGGAGGAGGCGACTATGAGTGGTTCTGGCTGCCCTGCTGCCCTGCCTGGTGCCATCGCCCATGGGGAAGGGGCAGAGGGAGGCCTCAGTGCTGAGCTCCGGGGACACTCACACGTAGATGAGCTCCGACTCCCTCCGCACCAGCAGGTGCTTCTCGTGAATGAGCTTGAACCAGTCTACCAGCATGTAGTCCTCACGGCCCTCTGCAAGCCAGACACTGTGAGGCTAGGCGGCAGCAAAGGCTAGGCGGCAGCAATCCCACTCCCCCAGCAAAGTCCCCCCAGCCCCAGCCCTGCCGACCCAGCCCTGCCGACCCAGCCCTGTCGACCCAGCCCCAACCTTGTCACCCCAGCCAGCCCCGTCACCCCAGCCCTAACCCCGCCGCCCCAGCCCAGCCCTGTCACCCGTCACTCCACCACGCAGCTTCTCCTCCAGCAGGACCCCACGGTGCTCCAGGGCATCCAGTTGGCGCTCGATGGCGTCCATCTCCCCGTGGATGTCCTCCTCAGGGATGTACTGGTCTGCCTGGACCTGCCCACAGCACTGTGGTCACCAGAAGGCCGGCTGACCGTCCCCCCACCCGCCTGCCTCCTGCGGCTCAGGCCCTGCCAAGGGCTTTGTCCTCTTTCCGGGCAGCGCTGGCTGCTGTGGCCCCCAGGGCTAGGGGCCTGTCCCACAGGCCGTGGAGGGGGGGGGGGGGGGG